CCAAGGAAAGACTCTTCTTCAAATGTTGCCAATTGTCCAGTCGATGGAATTACACCAGAGATGAGTGGATTGTACGAGACATTGAATTTGTTCAACTCATACAGCTCGCTCAAGCTTSTTGGAARCWCACCCGAGAAATTGTTGTGAGACAAWTCCAGATTCTGTAAGCACCTSATYTTKCCAATTTCGGYYGGAATTTCACCAGAAAAWWTGTTCYGAGAKATGTTAAGAACAACAAGCGGCAACYGTCCAATCTCGYTGGGGAGCTYTCCAGAAAAYWTATTCATTSCAAGATGGAKWAGACTGAAACTCTGCATCTTACCAATTTCTGSRGGGACTTCACCWGAAAACTGATTTCCAGTCAGCTGGAGATAGCCAGTAAYTTGTAGTCTTCGAGCTTTTGGATCGGCAGCACAGATTGGGAAAAGTCCATAGCCTTTGAGCATTCGATCCCAAATGCTTCYACAACTCTTCCGTGTGAAAAGTGTATAGACAAAGCTAAAAGGCGGATAGTCTGCAGGAACCCATCGCCTCATCGCCCRGCACTCACCAGAACCAGCTGTAACATGATAGTCTCGCCTATTGGACTCAAATGTTGGAGTGGGATTTTTCCCTRTATTTGCCAATTCAGATGGAATTCTGCCAGATAACTGGTTGTTGGCAAGATTTAGCCATAACAAACTGCTACAGTTCCCAATCTCCCAAGGTATTTCCCCTGTTAGTGAATTGTTTGCAAGCATCAACCACAAGAGGGAACTCAACTTACCGAGCGTAGATGGTATCTGGCCAGTTAGTTCATTGAAGGAGAGATCAAGTGCTTGGAGAAGCGACAAATTCCCAAATTCCAGCGGTATAGTGCCATTGAATTGATTATAGGCAAGGATCAAGAACTTCAAATTTGTCATTCTGGAGAATTCAACCAACAACGGGCCAGAGAAATTGTTAAAGCTGAGGTCTAACCGAATTAGATTCGACAAATTGAGAATTCCTGAAGACAGTATTTCTCCTGTATATGAATTTCCATGCAACAAAAGAAATTGCACCTGCTCAAATGTTCCTATGGTCTTCTGTATATCTCCGCCAAACCCGTTACTGCTAAGGTCTAAAAATTCCAACTTGCTGCAGTTTCTTAATGATTGTGGAATATCTCTTGAGAATTTATTTCTTCCTAAGAGCAGAGCCTTGATATTTGATAGCAATCCAATCTCAGATGGAATTTTTCCGCTGAAATTATTTCCCCACAAATTCAAAGAAACCAATCTTCTACAGTTTGAGATCTCTTTTGGAATTTCCCCATAAAACTGATTTTCTGACATATCTAGATGTTCTAGGTTGCAACTCCCAGTGAATATGGATGGCAAGACTTCTCCACTCAGGTTATTCTCAGACACCAAAAACTCTCGCAGTCTTGAAAAGCCCAACCAAATGCTTCCGCTGAAATTATTCGAGCTGATATCAACATACTGCAAACTCCAACAGTTGTCAAAGCAACCATCAATGCCACCAGTGAAATTATTTGCTGAGATGTTGAGAATGTTTAATCTGCCACAGATTTCCGGGAAGTTGGAACGAATTCCACCAGAAAGTCTATTCACAGATAGATCGAGTGCCCCAAGATTGGCGAGTCCAGTCAAGTTCAGTTCTCCTTCAAGGATATTGTGAGAGAGATTTAGATGCGTAAGCTTGTTACATCGATTTAAATCATCTGGAATAGGCCCACTAATCGTGTTCCTGGAGAGGTCAAGTKTGGTGAGTTCAGTCAAAGCAGAGAAGTTATGGAAGAAAACGCCAGAAATGCTGTTGTCAGAAAGATTAACTTGGGTAACCCGTTCACCAGTGCAAGAGATTGCCGGCCAATTGCAAGGAGATGAATCATTGCTCCATTCAGTGTATTGGCCTCTATTTATTGGATTGGCTTTCTTGAGAAAAATTTTCAACTGAAGCAAAACTTCTTTATCAGTCTGTAGAGAGGATCCAATAACAGTCCGACCTACAGGAGAAAACAAAAGAGCAACTCATTAA